AATCGAAAAGCCGATTAATAGGCTAGCGATCGATAAACATTGGCAATCGAAAAGCCGATAAATAGGCTAACGGTCGATAAAGTGTTAATAAGGGCTTACTAAAGACACCCATTCGAACCTAACAAGAATTATGCACCAAAGTGCCTAACCTCGGGATGAAAATCTCAATATAAGGCATATTATTCTTGGAACGCAATGATCTCCAATATAGCAGAGATAAATACAATATTAAAACTAATATGAGCGACGTAATCAATTCAAATGATTACGTAAAGAATCTAATCTTATTTTTGAAAGACATCGTTATATACAAAAAGAAAGTTTAGAAGAAAGGAAATGAAAAATTATCGATAGTCGCTCATGATCTGTGATGTTGGTGCGACTTCGAATAGAAAGAGAAGAAAAAGAATACGACAAAAAAATGGCATATTAGCAAACATTGATGACTAGATTGCGGATCTTTATGCAAAATAAATATTGTCTGCATCAATTGCAGAACATAGGTGTTAAGCACAAGTTATTTTCGTTTGTTAATAATTTTAATAGTTTGTTAGTAGTATTAAGAAATGTATATATACAAAGTGAGCTTGTTTAACCCTTTGTAGTCGCAGACATTTTAACTTGAAATTCAAAATAGTTTCTTCGACTTATAGTATTTTCATTTTTTATATAACTTAATGCACTCTTTATACATATGAAATTTCATTTTGCGACTCATGCAACAGTTACACTTTTGGCAGATTTTATATATAAACCGATTTGATGATGATAAAATTCTTTTGAAACGCGATACAACAGTTTTTAATGGCGCCGTTGGGTCGCCCATCGAGTGCAAAGGGTTAATATTTCACAGATACGTCATGATTATTTTACGGTGTCGATAGTTTAGAGTTCTAACACACCTCCCAGTTTTCAAGTACAGTGGACCACAAAAGTGTTCGTACACCTTTTAAAACGCAATAACTTTTTTTAAAACTGGGCTAAGCGACTTGAATATTTTTTAGATGATAGCGAGACTAGTCTACTAGACGGTGACCAAAATGGTTTTCTTAAATTTTGCTATTACTTGGAATGACAAAAAAGGAATAAAAAACTCTTGTTTTTAACTTTTTTATCTGAGCATATAACAGAAATTTTAAAAAATGCTTATTATAGTACGAACACTTTTGTGAGCCACTGTATATTCTTACAAAATAAAGAGCACATTTTTTCTAATGCAGTTTTGGAACATCGTACATGTCGTGACCCGCCATTTTGGCACAAATGACTCGTCTAAATCATTCAATAATATAAATATATAAAATAAATATGTATATATATAAATATATGAATAAAATAAATAAATATATATTTAATTATTTTATTTATATAATTATTTATATATATGAATAAATATATATATAAAATAAATATGTAATGTAACATATTGATACAAATATAAACGCACTCGAATGACTCGTCTAAATCATTCAATAATATAAATATATAAAATAAATATGTATATATATAAATAAAATAAATAAATAAATAAATATATTTTTTATATATTTTATTTATATAATTATTTATATATAATATATAAATAATATATTTATTTATTTATTTATTTTATTTATATATATATAAATAAATATATTTATTTATTTATTTATTTTATTTATATATATATATAAATAAATATATAATGTAACATATTGATACAAATATAAACACACTCGAATGGTCAGAAGCGCGATGCGCGCGTGTCGCACGCGATGGAAAATCGCAGTCCCGTTCGAAAGCAACCGACGGTCAAAGCGCAAGCTGCGCGGTAACGTCGAACGGACAGATTCCAGGCTGCTAACGACGAGACGTTCGAGAATGATTAATCCGAATGGACGGCGTTTAATAAACGATCCCGGCCGCGAGGCACAGGCTCGGCTTTTCCACGAACGTCCAAACTAATTCACCGCCGGCCCGTGCTATATTACGACATTACTTTGTACCGTAATACAAGCCGATGTTGCCCGATTAACATCCGAGATTACAGGCAGGCTCCTTACGCCAATGAATGTACTTAGGCGGTGAGAAACGATCGAGGCTGGCGAAGATAACGGCGACAACGCTTGGCGACGAGCAAGACTACGATTACCAGGCTCCTTTGTCCCCGAGCACGATCCGCACCGGCATCGGCCGTGTTTCCTCGCGACTTTAATAACGTTCGACACTCGAGCCGATCGCTTATCTCCACGCTCGAACATTTATCCGTCGATTTATAAATTAGAAATGGGTCCGTCGTCCGGAAAGTATTCGTACGGGGTGGAGCTCGTTCCATTCAATTTTAACCGATTAGCTGTTGCAATCTCCTTGAAACGTGTGCAAGTTATTGCAGTTATATTGCATGTTCAATTTTCTGCATATTTTGTTCAAATGGAACACGTTTGTAAAATATATAATTTAATAAAGAACGTAATAATGATATATCCTTAATCGGGTAGCTGTTTTCGACGAATATACTCGACATGAAGAAACAGAAACATTTTGACTAGTGCCGAGTATAATTTAATAAAGAACGTAATAATGATATATCCTTAATCGGGTAGCTGTTTTCGACGAATATACTCGACATGAAGAAACAGAAACATTTTGACTAGTGCCGAGTATAATTTAATAAAGAACGTAATAATGATATATCCTTAATCGGGTAGCTGTTCTCGACGAATATACTCGACATGAAGAAACAGAAACATTTTGACTGGTGACGAGTATAATTTAATAAAGAACGCAATAATGATATATCCTTAATCGGGTAGCTGTTTTTGACGAATATACTCGACATGAAGAAACAGAAACATTTTGACTGGTGACGAGTATACTTGTCATAAAGAGATGGAAACATTTTGAGTCATGACGAATATACTCGTCATGAAGGAATGGAAATATTTTGAGTTATGACGAATATACTCGTCACGAAGAAATTGAGACGTTATGAGTTGTGACGAGTATACTCGTCAAAAACGGCTAACTGATTGATGTCGATACAATTTGGAATAATTACTAGACAGGTTCTTCAACAATATTTTATGTGCGTTTAAAGATAAACAAATTCTAGACTTCCAATTGTTTTATACGAAATAAAATTATTCTGCATAAATTGCGAAGAACTAGAGCGTAATATAAATTTAATTTTCCTTCTGATAATTTTTAATTATTAAAAAATAACTCGACTGCATTCTTACATTTTTTTTTTAAGTTCTCACTGCTCTTTGTTTCGCACACTCCATTTTTCTTATGAACCCATAAAGTCTGCAGTCTAATTATTACTTCATGCAACGAATTTTTGATACTGATGCGTGAAAATTACTTACCGATTTGGTTGCCAACACGAGACAGAAGATAATTTATAAAAATTTTACACGGAGATTTACGGTCGAATAGTTACGTGGTGTCGGAGTAAGATTGCTTTCGCCGCCGACCATGCTTCAATTAGCTGTGCTCATTAAGAAATCGATGGTCTCGGAATAATATGGGAAGAAATCAGCGGAGAGATGTTGCAAATCCAGTGAAAATTGCAAGGACACTCGATCGAACGTTCTGAAGTGTTCGAAAGCGATTTCCAACGACTTACGACCGAGGCATTGAGGAAACAGTCGATTATCCGAAGCTCGATTCGAGTTTGAAGTCTAGCTCATTATCCCGGGGAAAATGAGTTCTACGCTAATACCTTCTCGATGGCCGGAAAGAAATTGATCGACGAACAAAAAACGTTCTACATCTCATCGCGGGTTATTACTCGTTATCTTGATAAAAGGATCGCTGTTCTACCAGATACGGCGTTGTTCCCTGATTTTCCGGAGGATCCGCGGAAGCGGAAGGATCGACTCGATCGAAGCCTATTGCGAAATTACTTTGGAATTCGCCAATTTGTCGAGGCAGACGATCGAAAAACGGTAAAAGCAAAAAAGAAGTCTCAAGAATCCTGCGAATCGAAACGCCTGCAAAATCCTTGGAAAATTTTTCTCGCGAATCAATCTATGATTGACTTAAAGACTGAAGCTTCTCCTTTGCAATGAACCCTCGAAACAAGATCTACGATTTTTTTCGATCGCTTTATTCAATTTTCAACGAAAGATGTAACATCGACATTCCATGACCAAACTTATCCGCCGTTTGTGTTCCACAAAACGGTTAAAGAAAATAGTGGATCAAGTTTCGAGGTGTCGTTCTAGAGGGGAGTCTTTAATCTTCAAATCTGTAATTGTTGCAGTTTTGGAAAAAATTCTTTCATGTTTGCAGAAAGGTTCGAATATAGAAATGCGGATTGTTCGATCAGAAAAAAATGACTGTATTTCGAAGGAATCGCGATTATGATCGAATATTGTCTTGTTAGTGGTATTTGTGGCAGCGTTGCCTTTTCGAGCAGATGGAACAGGCGTGGGAGCAGATACCGTAGATTAGGCGAGCAGCTCTGACCGAAGAGGCGATGGTTCATTGATAAGGTTGTCAGTGGAGCCTATTGCTGATCAATTAAGGAAATCGCTGGCCGCGCATGCAGAAACCCGCGACGACTTTCTCTCTCACTCTCTCTCTTTCTCTCACTCTCTCTTTCTCTCTCTCTCTCCTCTCTCGCAGAATTCGCCTCGCTCGCGGCTCTCCTCGCCTCGTATTTATGGTCTCTGTCCGCGGTCCCGGCTATAACCGTCAGTTTGTTTGTTATAAAACATGCCGCTGGCTTTCGCACATTGTCCGCCGCGAGATAATCGGCCGGGCCCCGGCTCTCCGCCGCCCTGTTATTAATGCGTAATTGAATGTTGCGATTCATTACCCGGACGTTATATTTCAAGTCGACTGACTCCGCGGTCGACGCGACGCGACGCGAATCAACGCTTCTCTTCGCTAGCAGGCTCGCTTCGCTCTGCTTTCCGATTAATCCCGCACTGTTTTACTCATCAGGATGGTCCAACTTGTCTCTGATGCTTTATTAACCACTTGCCGTACCATTCTCTTCGGTTACAACGATCATGAACTTCCTTAGTCCTAAAGAAGTCGTCTTAGAAGGTAAACAACATATGTATTGCGCGCCTAAATTCACTATATATGTATTTACGTTCACGTCATGTAATATTAACATCCATTTATTTAATTCAATTTGCCGGAAATTGACTAATTAGCAGACGATTTAAATTCAATGTAAACGCGGTCGAAGTATTAAATACCATGACACGAGAAGTCATACGTGAAAAGACAATAGCTATCGCCGACGCTAATTCTGAAGGACAAAGGCATGCATAATTTATTTCACTGTGGAATCTAGTGCATTTTCTATCGCGCTTAAAAGATTGTGAGTAATGAGCTTTCGTTAGTGTCAAATTCGAACGAAGTAATTAGCGAGCAGGGTGCACGTAAGGCGTCCGCGTAAATTGAAAGGCGGACGATCGATCGATTCGCGAGCAATCTCCAGTATAGTGCACGATGCTCTCCACGCTTTAGGAAGTTCTCTTTCTTTCGGCCTCTCGAGGAAAAAAGCCGGCAGGCCGGCGTGCGTTCAGCGCATTCCTTCCGTTCGTTCGAGATGAGCTGCGAAAGGGAAAGCCGGATAGGTCTGACTGCGGAAGAGGACGCGAACAGCGGCTGCAAAAAACGTTGCTGCGTTTTATGCAAGAGAAAACGAAATGTCCATTCCAGAGTGTCGCGATACTGACGGTTTTATGGTTTCATTCTTTTTATTTTATTAAATTCTTCATTTGAGCCGTTTATTTTGAAAGTGGCATAAGTCACTTTGTTTTTAAGTCGATACATTTAAGGGTTTGCGTTTGAACACGTTTAAAAATATGGATGCTAACTTTCGAGAAGATTTACTTGTATTTGTTATCTCAGGATACTGATATTTTTCTCAGTATAAATAATTTCGTATAAACATTAAAAGATCACCACTTTTTATTACGGCAAAGTGACTTGTGCCACTTTCAAAATAAACGGCTCATTTTATGAAATTCTTTATTTTGTTTTATATTTTTTATTTTATTACTCGTGTGCACGACTTATGGCAAACTCATAAGCAGAGAATGCATAGATCTTTATTCTTGTCATGAATAACTTTAACGAGTTATAAATAATATAATCTAATTGTTGAATTCTACTAATTGTGTCACCGTTTCGTACTTCAAATACGGTTTTGTTACAAATGCATAAAATCCGCAGTCTATTCGTGACAATAGGATAGAAATGTTCTTAACAGCTTGAGAACTTTCTAATATTCCGTTATTAACGATGATTTAATGTTGCCGAAAATGGAAGACAAGCAGTTGAGAATCTCTTAACGATTCGTTCGACTGTGACAAAAATTTCGAAACCATTCGGAAACTTGCTGAAGAGAAAACTATCAACTCTTTGCACTCGAAGATGTTCTAACTTCAACATTATAAACGTTTCTTTCGACCTGGAATGTTTCTATTCCTTCTCAATTTTTATCCCCTTGTTCCATTTAGAATTTAAAACTTAAATAACGCTGCAAAGCAGAAAGTACATAGTGCTATTTAGGAAAGTCAAGATAACCTGAACTTTCTATCGAATAAAAGAATTTGTCGAAATTTTTATTATCGCACTTTGTTCTCCTCGGAGCACTGATCAACTTTTATTCTATTTTTTTGTCAGATTAGCGTAATTGCATCGTTAGGAAGAACTTGTGTTCCGTGCAACTTGGATTTTGATTTTCTTCAAAAACGTGATTCGATTTTCCACGAAGAGAGTCTTGAGGAGTTGATTAGCGTTCCTTGTCGACGCGGTCCTGACGAAATGGTATCAGTTTATGAAAATTGTCGTAAAACGTCGGGAACGGTTAAACGAAGACGAAGCGAGGAGTAGGAAAGTCAAGATAACCTGAACTTTCTATCGAATAAAAGAATTTGTTGAAATTTTTATTATCGCACTTTGCTCTCCTCGGAGCACTGTTCAACTTTTATTCTATTCTTTTTTGTCAGATTAGCGTAATTGCATCGTTAGGAAGAACTTGTGTTCCGTGCAACTTGGATTTTGATTTTCTTCAAAAACGTGATTCGATTTTCCACGAAGAGAGTCTTGAGGAGTTGATTAGCGTTCCTTGTCGACGCGGTCCTGACGAAATGGTATCAGTTTATGAAAATTGTCGTAAAACGTCGGGAACGGTTAAACGAAGACGAAGCGAGGAGTAGGAAAGTCAAGATAACCTGAACTTTCTATCGAATAAAAGAATTTGTCGAAATTCATATTATCGCATTCTGCTCTCCTCGGAGCACTGTTCAACTTTTATTCTATTTTTTTGTCAGATTAGCGTAATTGCATCGAAAATCGGTGCAACCGTTAGGAAGAACCTGTGTTCCGTGCAACTTGGATTTTGATATTCTTCAAAAACGTGATTCGATTTTCCACGAAGAGAGTCTTGAGGAGTTGATTAGCGTTCCTTGTCGACGCGGTCCTGACGAAATGGTATCAGTTTATGAAAATTGTCGTAAAACGTCGGGAACGGTTAAACGAAGACGAAGCGAGGAGTATTGGCCGCAGCCTTGCCGAGGTCCCGCAGCAAATCCAGCGTTTAAACTGTCCCGGGAAGCGTGGGTGATCCGCATCGTTCCGATCGTAATATTAGCCAGCGAGCGTTTCCGCGCGGACTTATCGCGACCGCTTACGCCCGACCCGCTCGTAAACTCGCGGATATTCTTGCCGGTATGGCACCGCGGAGCATTCTTTTAATTACACGCGGCCGATAGGCGGCTCGGAGACAGCTTAGCGACCTCTTCGAACGCCCGGCGACGTCCGTTCGCGTCGCCGCGCGGAAAATAGTCGGCAAAGTCCGCGATAGATGCGAGATAAACTTTGTCGAAGTTGTTCTCGGAGCCTATGAAATAGCACCGGCCGGCAGGAAGCGCGCGAATCGCGAAATTAAGTGGACTTATGGTCGTACGAACGACCTAATCCTTGGTCCTTCGATCGGTTCGAGGGAAACCGAGGGGACATCGTAAATATGGTAATTACAATAATTCGTCTTCCCGCGATTCTAAACGGTGAAATTATGAATGGAAAATGCTTGGTCTTTGAACTGTTGCGGTTCACCGGGTAAAAGTCTCGGAGTACATTGTGCTCGGGTGGTGTTGCAGTGGAGAGTTGACTCCTTCAAACGAGCTCGGTTGGATTGTTCTGCGATTTTTCCGCATGGAGATACAGGGATTCAATGTGCAAGAAGTTTAAATCAACGAAGTCGAATCCAGCCGATGAAATTAAAATTGCGGAGTTGAAATCGTCGGAATTATTAACGAAAAATTAATTTTTAACACGTTGAATGCCACGGGGGTCACCGGTGACCGGCACTTAACTTGGCGGTGACGCCAATGGGGGCCAAGGGTGACCGACGCGCCCAAATTGATAGAAATATATACAATTTAAAACAAATGTCAATATCTAAAATTTTGTATTATTGCCATAGTCGATTCAAGCAGTGACCCCTGTCGCAATTAACATGTCAAACATGGTTATACACTGTAACTTATCTATTGCAGATAATATTTCAACGTTATATGTATCACGTAAAAGAAAATTCATCGTGGCGCCACGGACAATTAATGTAAAACCGGCGTGGCATTCAACGTGTTAAAGACAGGGAAGAGTCAACGTGTTCATTTAATGGAACAGTTTGTTGTGGTAATTATTACACGCGAATCATATTTGCAACAGAAACGAATTAATTAAGTACAAACCCTTAAAGACATTAAAAGAGCTCAAGAACATTGTCGTATTCGTTCCGAATAATCAACAATTATTTTCGACCATGTAACAACCAACAGGATATGTATATTCAAATATTTTATGGTGTATTTAGAAAATGTATCCCAATATAGAAAGCATTCATTAAACAAATTGAAGTAATTGTTCCAGAAATATTTGACTTATATATTTTCTCTAAATACATCATAAAATATTTCTATATAATACATATATTGATTAATTGATACTTATTTTCAACAGTGTAAAATAACATATTTAATTAGTCGAAATTAATTAGCCGAAATTAATGTATACGTGTATGCACACCGCGGAATAAGTATTTCAATTTGTTCAATTATTTCTCTGTACATTGGAAATATTTGGTTGAAATATTTTCAAACTACGTCATAAAATATCTTGCCAAAATAAATAATTACAAGCTATTCGTTAATAAGCTATTCTTTTCCATCACTTTAAACGCGATAACAGAACTGTCCGCTGCGAAACAAATATTATCGAACGTAGTGATCCATTTTTCGGTAAAAAAGTAATCAGCGTCGACGATAATTGCCATAAGCATTCCGTCGTTGTTCTAACAAGGATCCGGTGATAGTACCATTTACGGTTGCTCGAAAAATGGCCGGGCATTCGAGATATTCTCGGCTCGCGATAAGAAGTTAACGTCGCCGGTAATTGAATCGGCGGAAAGGAAGCGAATCGCGAATTCGCGGTTGCAATTACAAGCCGCGGAGCCGGCCATAGCCGGCAATGGGAGAAAAAACCCATGACGCCGATTCGTTTCATGCGAGAGATAATAACAGCTCGGTCGGGTAATTAAGTGTTAAATAATTGCTTAATTGAATTTATAGGCTCTGACGCGTACGAGCCGCGCTTCCGGATCAATTAGGCCATACCCGTTCGCGTGTCCACCGGCGAACGCGTTTCGCCGGCGAACAAATACCGCAAAAATGTCCATAAAATCGTGGTCATTCATTTCGCAGAACCGTTTGCCGAGGGTTAACATTTATCACTCGACTGTGGATCTCCGTGCCGTGGATCTCCTCTGCTGTTCGTAATTTTACCGTTTCAATTTTATCATAACCGCGTGAAATCTGCCGTCCGTTCATCACAGCGTTTATTTCGACGTTCTTCTAGTTTCTGCGGATGCTAACAAATTCATTTTTGATCTTGGACACTTAATTACGTCGCTTGCTTACGATCGATGTGACAGGAAAACACATTTTCTGGACGCATCAAAGAATTCAAACCGAATCCAGTGAAGTAAATTCAAAGAATCAGCGATTATAACATCTAGAAAAATCACGGAGCGGCTCGCGTTCGCGTAATTCTGGTCCTTGGAAATCTAACTCTGGCTCCCGCGACGAGTTTTCGCTCGGTATTTACAATTCTGTAAACGTTGACGTGTCAATTCTCAGCATAAAAATCGTGTGAACGAAAATTTATCGCGGAGAAGTTCCTTTCCAAAAGGATGTGTGCTTGTTTCGTGTGCCACGGAGGGTGAAAAAAGAAAGAATTGTGTGTAAAACAGAAGAATTCGCTGCAACATCGAGCCAACAACGCGAGTTAATCACAGTTTTAATTGGAATGAAAATAATGAAACAACGTTCGCCAATTTTTCTAACGAACGGCATCTTTTCCACACACGCCTATCGAATTTCGCGGATTCAACGTTATGAAAAGAATGGATCCGATGAACGCGCAGACAGAGTTAACGAAATCAACGAAGATTTGTTAACGTCGGCCTGTAATAAATAATTACCGAAGCAAGACACTGTACGTATCCTCTATTCTCTTTTTTCACGCGATTTTAACTCGGCCTGCGTAGGAGGGAACGGTGGAAGGGAAACAAGTAATCATAGCGCGCGCGTAATGATTCGCGGTTAATTCTTTGACCCAGCTTATTAGATTAATTAAGAGCGGCAGAACGATCGAACGAGTGAGACTGAGACGCGTGACAGCCGCGGAATAATACTATAATCACGTTGATTAGTAACGTTAATAAATTGGCTCGGGACATGGTACACGGCGCACCGCGTTCGCCGATCCGCCATTTTCACGCGCGTCTTTGTTCCGAGCGCGGAAAACGGTGACGATGGAATAGAAACGGGACTTTTATTGGCCTCCGTAATCTTCTATAAATCACAGCCAAGCGAGAGAAATTTGCATAAAACTTACCCGGCGCGAGTCCACGGTTTTATACGAATTTGCATTTTGCAAAACTTCCGTCCTCCGGAATCGAAAACCTGCTGCGACTCAAGCGCGATTCCAAATGAAACTAAATCGGTGCAATTTACGCTTGAAACGACGTGTCTTTTTAGCAAAAATATTGCTGAGTATGCTTACGATCGTTTATCATTTTATTTAGCAATTTTTATCAATAATATATTTTTTCAAGATCCAACTGAACATGTTAATTTCTCTATAGAGCGTAATAAAATACGTAAACATTGAATTTAATTGTCGCAAACTGCAGAATAAAATAACAATATTTATTTAACAAACAACCAATTCATTTAATCTGGATAGTTGAAATTGTCGAATTGATAGCTAATTAAAAATCTTTAAGATCGAAAAGCTACAAAATTATATTCAATAAAGCAAAATCTGAAAAATTGAAATTGTTAGATTGAAATAAAACTTCGAATTTTGCAAAAATAATAATAAAACTATAAAAGCAAAACAAAAAAATTTTGAACAAAATAATAATGGAAAAGTAATCTGTGGAATAAAGATTATGATGATTAGATTTTCGTCTCTAGCCAGACATAAAAATGATTTTCATCGCAACATTAAAATGGGTGCCGAACAAAAGGATTGCTCTCGACCGCGAATAATTGAATTTTTGACTAAGGTTCAGTCAATTAAAATTCAATTAGAATGAAACAGTAGGCATCCGGCTATTATGGATATTGTTCTGGCAATGAACGTGTTAATGGGCGCGAGAAGTAACGCGGCGTATGTGAATGAAGTTCCGAAGAAGAGGGAAGCGAGACGCGTCTTCCTTCTTTTCTACGGCCGAGGCAGCCAAGAGTGCAGAATGCATCTAAAAGAAGTTTTACAGTGCTGCGTTGTTGACTTAATGCAGTTGCAGCGTGCTCTTTTTGGAGTTCATAAGCAACTCTGTTTATGGGTTTCTTCACCTCCGGTGAAAAGATTCTAGAAACTCTACTAAAATCGATTTTCCTGCTTTTTCCTTAAACAATGAGGATTAAGAAATGTACAGAAAATGCGACTTTTGCGTTGTAAAATATCACAATAACGTTTATGATACAAATTGAACGACGATTGTATTAGTTTTTTTAGGTACGTTGTCAGCAGCTTACAACTAATCCAATTTTGGATTTTTCGTGACTCATAAAATTGAGGATGTATAACTGAAAGAAAAAGAAAAATATATAAAGGAGTCTGATCGAACAATTTTGAGTAGTTTCATAATAAAAAGATCCCAAAGATTAAAATGTCACACAGCACAGTGGGGCGTTTCTTATCTTCGGATAGCGAAAGGAAAGCTGTGTTTGGGAACTTTTTACAGGAAAACTATCGAAGCTATTAAATTGAAACTTGCTGGAGTTATATTACTCGTATCTTGCACTATATGTTGAGTAGTGCAAATACAATATAGTTTCTGAGTGGCATGCATCGAAAGCATGCCATTTATGGCATGGCTTGCATAAATACGAAAGATTCTCGATGAACAAAATTCTTCGACTCTGGCAAAGCTTACAACATCATAAAACCCGAACATACGTCAATCTATCAGCAATATACTAAAAGCCTAACTGTTTTCTATCTAATTATTAATATAAAAATTTTTTCAAAAATCGTGCATAATCTCCCAAAACTTTCATCTCTGCTCCATCTCAAAAACTGTCTCCAAAGATTGCAATGTCTAACTTATTATGTAGAGAGTTCGCTCTAAAATGATCAATAGCGACTAAATTAACTGTAGAAATCAGTAAAAATGTTGGATAGTCTTGCAACCAAATAACTGCTCCGTTATCTGAACACTTAACTATTGCAGATTGACCGGGACAATCGAGTTTCTCCTGTACCCGAAAACTCGAAAAATTTTCTAATTATAGTACCAGATAGAAAATAGGTATTGCGTAAAAGGAAGAATCCGTAGGACAGTCGATTTCCACGAAGTAAATTCCGGCAGTAAATTCTGCTGGCCAGCGGTCCGCTATGCAGAAAATCAATCGGGACCGAGCGTTTCCGGAGAGATCGCGGCAGCTCGCATGATCGGGAGTACGTGTGAACGGGGCCTTGTTGGTTGGGTGGCGTTGCGCGCGCTCCTAGCGGTCCCACCGCCTCCCGAGGCCCCCGTCGGTCCCCCCATGAATATTCATCGCTTTTCCGGCCGTCGTCGTCTGGTACGCGAGCGTGCGTTGCTCCCAATTTGTCACACACCGTGGCATTATCCCATTTCGCTAATAAAGTAATATTACGGTGGTGAAGAGAGATGCGGCGGGGACGTAGGCACGGGGCTGATTTATTTTTTCTCTCCTCTTTCTTATCTCCGCTCCCCCCACCCATTCCGTACACCCTGTTCACCTGTGCACCTCGTCGAGGTTTCTTCCTTCTCCTCTTCTTCCTTCTCAGTTCGCGTCCTACTCTGTTACCACGCCGCAATTATGCAACTTGGTAATTGCACGGCGCCTTGCCCGCCAGGTAGCCGTATCATCGTATAACGAGACGCGACTTTATTACCGAGTTCCTCTCGTCCAGTCTCTTCCAGGTGTCTGACGTGTGGAAAAAAAAACGAACAGCAATCCGGCCGCGTGCACCACGAGCCGACGGAGACGGCGTCGGGTCCGCCGTTTCGACGTTATATTCGTATAATTCTTGTTTTTACCCCATTGAGAAATTCGCAGACCGCGAAAGAATGAGGGTTCCGTGGTTATCCAACGATTATGTAATAATTTCAGTAGAATCAGAATTATCTGAACCAATCGGGAAACACGAGTGTTCGGTTTATAGCGAAAAGTTACTGATTCGTACAACGGGAATCTTCTTAAAATGAATTATTTACACGAGGAATGTATACACTCGATGAACAATTCGAATTTTGTAGGATCAAATATTGTATTAATTAATTATTGTATTATTGTATTAATTTGGATTAAATATTATTATATATTATATATTATATCTTATTTAATATCATATTATATATATTATTTATTATTATCATATATTAATAATATTATATAATATATATTATGTATTAATAATAGTATATATAATATTATATTGGATAACTATTGCATTAATTTGGAACACTTCAGTCAATTCATAATTGAGATAAGAACACCTTTGAATTTTGAGAACTGTCTGGTGATTCTTTGCAGTGCTACTCTTATAAGATCGCTTTTAAAAACTAAGCGCTGTTTTCTAAAAGAACTAATTCGAAAGCATATGCAATAAATACTGGATTTATTAGTAAATTACGATAAATTTAGATGCAATAGTAGGTACAATAACTAATAGGTGCAATAAATACTAGATACGATAACTAATAGCAACAATAAATTATGAGTCAGACTAGAATAAATTCTAATAAGTGGTGATGAAGATTCCTAGTTTAATCTGTAACAATTTCATTTTATTATCCTGTTGCAGGTCAATGTGAAACAAATATTTCATTCCTGTTTTTCCCTGTTACAGAGCCAAGGGAACAGGATCATCTCCGTTAGTGCGATTAGGCGAAGAAAACCAGAAGATCCACGACGCTGACCAGGTAAGTCGTCGATGAGCACAGCTCGATTTCTTTTATTATATTTCGCAACCCTCTATGATTAAGTATTTAACTTTTTGGTGTTCGAATGTGGAGCGTCTGGATTGAAGTCTGTAATCTGTGTATGTGTGTGTGTGCGTGTGTGTATCTTCGAATGAACGGTACGTCGATTAAGCTTTTCCCTGTTTGACGAGCGTAATCACGTGTCTGATCGGCTCTAACAACTCAATCTTCCGAGGTGTCTAATTTGTGGACAGTGGGAAAGTGGTGAGTTCCGGTTACGTTGGTGGCGATAGTCGACGATCCTGTTGAGTCCAATTTACGTTGTGTGGAGAACTACTCGTTTATTTCAATATTTTACGTGGTCGGTGTTGGGTGTATAATAGCCTCGGTATATGATAGTAATTGTAAGCGTGAAAATTTGTTACTTCTATGACGATGTAGAACTGCACGGTGCGCCGATGCAAGTCTGAACGATACATTCACGCGCGCTGCACAATTGGCAGTGATTAGGGTATCGAACAGTGCCAGCTTAAAGGGCGAAACTATTTTCATAATTTTTATGGGGAGAACACGCTGCATTCGTGTGCATTATTTCGTATTTTCTGCGTTTTGCATGTTCGCTTTTCAATTTCCCTCGAACGCGTTCTTGAAAATACAAATGCAATCGTTTCTATATGATTATTAAACAACAATAAAACACCGATGGACTTAAAAATGTTCAACGATTCAAATGTTCAAATGTTCGACAATTATGCTGTTGTTATATTACATAAATCTTCTCACTAGAGAAGAACTATCAAACGAGTCAAAATGTCTGGATTCTGATTCCTCCTTTTACACTTACTGACATTTTAAAAATATTCATAGGAATTTTAATATAATAATATATAATAAATGAATTTTATGGATGAATTTCTTTTGCTCGAGCATATATTATAATAGAGATTCTACAAAGTTTGAATGTGAATCCAATCTTGCCATTATTATAAAACAGTTCAATTTTGTCATTATTATAAAACAATCCAGTCATGTCATTATTATAAAACAATCCAATTTTATCATTATTATAAGACAATCTAATCTCGTAATCGCGTTTAACCCTAGAAAGATAACCATATGACAACGTACGTAAAAGATAATCATACGCTTCAGAGGCGCATGCTTTTCTAAGGCGTCAATTTTCTACTAACAATGGATATTTATTTAAGTTAATCTAGTCATTTTAAAGGTTTGACATTATTGTAAAAATAAAATGCATTTATATTATATTTTTTTATATTTTAAGTAATTTTAAACTTAAATCACTAGACCTCTATGAAAAATTAACAAAAATCAACAGTCTTCGCAGGCGCCTCTGCGACGTAGGTTATCTTTCTCGGGTTAAAGATCGATAGCTCCAGTGTTAAACATCTGCTACGAGAGAGGAAAATGGGCCCAGCGATTGGTAATTACGCGTTTTCCTCGCGGCGAATCGTGGTCGCCGCGTCAAAGATCGTTTCTCCGATGCCGATAGTCCGCGAGAAACCGCAGCGTGTCCCGAACCGGTATGCGGGAATCGAAAAAAGCCGCAACAACATCGAGTGCGTGTCGCGCCGATTCCGAGGACACCGATTTCACGGCAGATACATTAATGCGGGCCCCGGCCGTGTACGTTATAAGTCCTCGAATAAATTCCCATCGGGACACGCCCCTCTTCGATTATTTAACTCGCCGGGAACGGACCCGTCGGAAAATCGTTAGCAATCGTCCGAACGACCACGCGGATTACGCGCAATCTTCGTACCAACGGCACTACGAGACCGAGGCGATTAGACTCTCCACGTGCTTAGACTAATTCGTAAATTCTCGAAGCGCGCCGCTTTATGCTGCAGAAAATTACAGCGCTCCGTTTGAAAGAAAATTTAGTACCGTTCTCTGCGACGTTTTATTTTAAAGAGAAATTAACGATTATTTCGTGCAGTACCTTATTTCAGAGAAAATTAAATACCGTTTTGTACAACACGGTATTATTGTCAAGAAAATTAAGCATTATTTTGTATAGTACTATATTTTTGAGAAAATTAAATACCGTTTTGTACAACACGGTATTATTGTCAAGAAAATTAAGCATTATTTTGTATAGTACTATATTTTTGAGAAAATTAAATACCGTTTTGTACAACACGGTATTATTGTCAAGAAAATTAAGCATTATTTTGTATAGTACTATATTTTTGAGAAAATTAAATACCGTTTTGTACAACACGGTATTATTGTCAAGAAAATTAAGCATTATTTTGTATAGTACTATATTTTTGAGAAAATTAAATACCGTTTTGTACAACACGGTATTATTGTCAAGAAAATTAAGCATTATTTTGTATAGTACTATATTTTTGAGAAAATTAAATACCGTTTTGTACAACACGGTATTATTGTCAAGAAAATTAAGTATTATTTTGTATGGTACCATATTTTTGAGAAAATTAGGTAACGTTTTGTACAGCACTTTATTTTGAAGAGAATTAAGGATTATTTTATATAGTACTATATTTTTGAGAAAATTAAGTAACGATTTGTTCAGCACTTTATTTTGAAGAAAATTAAGGATTATTTTGTATAGTACTATATTTTTACAAAAATTAAGTAACGTTTTGTACAGCACTGTATTTAAAAAGTAAATTAACGACTATTTTCGACACTATCGTATTTTAAAAAATATTAAAAGCTATTTTATACGGCATTTTATTTTAGAGACAATTAAGTACCTTTTTGTATAGCATTTTATGTTGAAGAAAATTGTGTACCATTTTGTACTTCATCTTAAATTGTGCACAGGGTTCATGAGAGTGTACAAGCTGTTCGGAAACACAGGGATTTGAATTGTTATCCCATAAATGTTATCTTTTGTGTAACAAATTTTTAAAAGTACACGAGGATTGAACAAGGTATTGGACTTCTTTTTAATTATTATTGTAGTATACTCAAAATGTATATTTAAAATGTACCGCATCTAGACTGCAAACTTTATACGCTTATTACGAAAATTATTAAGTGAAACACCAAACTGTGAGAACGTTAGAAGAATTATCCTCAACCGATGACAATTATTAACCGAAGAAACACATTTTTAGGTTACTTCTGCTTCACACAATTGATTCAGAGAATTTTGATTGTGCACGAAACGATGTCCAATCACTATTGTTTTTGAAGATAGACATGATCGCCGATTGAGAAGAATCGTCAGCTTTTCCTGGCGCAGGTAGAGGTCAAAGTGTCTCGATCGACGATTTCGATTACAGGATCGGGCTTTCGTGGAGTGGTCGCCAGGTAAAGGATGCTCCTTTGCCCCGGAGCGCACTTAATCTTATCGGGCCGCGGGCTTTTGTCGGGCCCGGTTGATGCTTTCTCGAAGCTTTCTTATCGGCCTCGACCCTCTCGCGCCGGCACGCTTCCGCTTCGCTCCTATCGCATCTACTCGTTTCCACTTTTGTCGTGGCACACCGTGAACCACCGTTGAAAATCCTCGCGACGATATCTACCTGACAATATTCTTCTCGCTATCGCCGCCACCTATTAGCCTCGATCTTCTTCGGTTCATCCCTCCCGACATACCACGATCAACAAAACTGTTCGCACTTTGAATATTTTTGGAGACCTGTCAATTCGTTTCAGAGCTACGCAAGTTTTTTGATTTGCGATTGTTCCGATTTTAAAGACACAACCATGAGTTGTTTATTCAATGTATACGTTGCTTGCGCCAAATATTACGACACTCGTTAAAAATCTGAACAAATGACTTATTGCTAATTTTATAAAATGAAACAACAACGAAAAGATATATAAGACAGCTGTATTTATTTATACCTTTCGACATGTTCGTTATAATTAGACTTCGCAGGTTTACACACACAATTGCATTTTTTTACAGAAAATAGTTAAAAGAATAGAACTTGGACTTTCATTCGTGATCGAAGGGTTCTAAAAATACATTTCTTATTTTCACTTTTTAGATAATTATGTTTATGTTCATTCTGCATATCTATGTTTAAAAGCATATGTGGAATTTGAATACATCGTATCCTCTTATAAAGAGTATGATAAAGATGTAAATATCATGCTAGAGTAGCGTAGTCGATTATTGAAGGATGACCAATCGCTGTGCCCTTGATTTATTTTCGGTTATAATTAACTTTATATTTATAGAATAAGATACATTTAATTTTTTCATTCTGCTTATTTTTTCAGTAAAAAAAATGTAACATGTCTTATTCGATAAATACAAAGTTAATTATAACCGAAAATAAATCAAGGGCACAACGATTGGTCATCCTACAATAATCGGCTCCGCTGTTGTTACCCTATGTGTAACAATCTTCAATAATTGTTAATACTTGTTGAGAATCTTCAATAATTGTTAATACTTGTTGAGAATTCGTTCGACGTTCATCACGTGAAATACAAAATGGTGGTCGTCGCAGACCCGTGACGCTGGTAGCGAACGTGTTAATTCTTCGGGATCGATCAGCTGGAGGACGTAGGTGGTGAAGGGGGAGGGATTGGGGGTGGTGAGTTGCCGGGAGCAGCCCCATAGATCCGTCAGAGGCTGACCCTCGGATCGCGGAGCGTCCGGTTGTGCACTCGATCCCCGGTGTATCGCGCGCAGTCACAGAGAGAGCCTGCATTACGTATGGCGATTGCGTCAGGGTGATATCGTCATCGGACAGGGCGAACACGACTTTAGCCTTCTCGGCTAAGGACACGGTAGAGGAGAGCAGAGGTGCGTGTCCCGACACGGCTTGCCCATTAGGTGGACCCGCCGCGCCATCAGATTAGATTCCGTTTCGTTCTCGGTTGGTCCGCAACAATGCGGCTGAACCGCGATGCATCGCCGGAACGACGACGTCTCCTGGCTAACACGCTTCCTGGATTCGTGAATCTCCGGGTCCACGGAGAAGTCCTCTCTCCTTGCCTCGTCCGCCACACGCGAATTCTTCTCCGCCGACACGCATCTTATTGCC